GGCAGCGACGAAAGTGGTAGCGAAACGCATGATGATAGAGTGTGTTTGGTGAGTTGGGTTGTGTGGTTTGGTTTGGTTGGTGAAAGAAAAGAAAAAAGGTGGGAAAGAAAAGGCTGAAAAAGTTGCTTGGAAGAAGAAAAGTAAACTAGAGAAGAGTTAGTAGGATACGAGTGAGGAGAGAGAGCTGCTCACAAGTGGCACCTGGCCGAGAGAAGAAGAAGAGTGTTGCGAGAGGTGGTGGAGCTCTGCTGTAGTCTAGAGGATAGTTTGCAGCTCCTTTTATAATCTCTAGCCACACTGCAAGTGGGGATGGTACGAGCCAGCCCGAGGAACTTCTCTTCTCTTGTCGCGGCCAGTCACCTTGTGGATGACACTCGCCGAGCGTATGGGATCCAGGAATCCCAGTGGAACAATGGCTGTGAAGTAGAGATCCAGCCAGTATCCAAGAGACAGATGCAGTGTGAGGGGGGTCAAGGACGTACACGGTCCGTGGGCGGTGAACCCTGCGCATAGCCAGCTCGGCTGCTCCCATTGGCTGGCCACTCGTCTCCATCAGTGTTTTCTTCACATCCAATTGGCGTCTACACTCGGGCAAGTCAAATTCGTCATCGGTCCATCTGCCAGCACCTGTGAACGTACTCGGTCGGAACCCCGAGGACGTGTACTCCAGCTCGGGATACACTTTTGTGCAGACAACAAGTACACGACGATCCAAACAGCATTCTTGCCAACTTGTACTCTTCCTTGAGACCTTGTGACCTTGAGACTCTTGATCCCCTCCATGAGACTTGTGGTACGACGAGGTCACATTGCTCATTCGTCGAACCAGAACGATAGATCAGACTCTACGAACTCGGGTTCATCCATCCTGCGAGCCTCTAGCTTGACGATTTCCTCTACTGGGCTCGACTGACTCTCGGTGCCGGTGATCACTGCCGCACAACTCTAGGACAGGAACGTTTGGACCCTTACGAGGTACGCGACATGTAATATTTTGAGAAAAATGCTCATCATGTAAAAAAAAACACTTGTCACCATACAAGAGGTCTGAGTTAGAACAATGGAAATAGACATTGAACATCTTGGAACTCTTCAAGCCTCGAGTTCATCGAAATCGCTCAAGTTCCATGGACTCTTTACCGTCACAAGGCTCCAGCTCGACAAGATACTCGACACTACAGACTTTCAGTTCAGGTTCAATGTCTCGCTCTTCAAGCTCTGTCTCTTCAATACTACTAGATAGCATCCCCTTTCACTCGTCGTGTTACTGGGCGTTAGTGAGTGGGTTTCAAGCCTAAAGAGACCTAACGCCGTCAGTAAACCATCACCCTAACCATCGATGGGACCTCTTTGAGGAACATAACCGCGTACACTGGGCTCGTTGGACTATGGCGGCTCTGCACCCTCGGTGCTGGCGATCACCGCCACGCGATTCTCACCTCCAAGACACGATGTTTGCAAGGTACGCAGTGTATAATTTGGGAAAAAATGCCCATTAACCAAATATATATCAGTACACAGCGTCTCTAGGAACAATAAAGATAGACGAGGAAAAACGTTTTAAAACTCTTCCTCTTCAATGTCACGGGTCTCGAGTTCATCGAAATCGCGAGCTTCAAGTTCCATGGGTTCTTCAACATCACGAGCTTCAAGTTCAACATCGTCAAAATCGCGAGCTTCGAGTTCCTCGTCAAAGTCACGAGCTTGTAGCTCCTCTTCGACGTCACGAGCCTCAAGTTCCATTGGCTCTTCAACGTCACGGGCTTCCAACTCGACAACCTCGTCAACATCACGAGTTTCAAGTTCAGGCTCTACGGAGCGGACTTCAAGTTTGGGTTCTTCCAAGGAGCGGACCTCGAGCTCGGGTTCTTCAATGCTGCGGGCCTTGAGAGGAGCAGCGGCGGCGACAACGGCATCTTGACCATCACGTCTCAAGATCACGTTGCTAATAAATTTGAACCCTTTTTTGAACTGAACAAACCACCAATCAGCCAAACGCTTTTACCCCCCAAAAAAAAAGTTGCACTTACCGCATTCTTGAACTTCCTCCAGCCGGCCTTGCTCCTCTTGTGGTGTCGGTGGTTATTATAATGTTGCTTGGCGTGGTGTGCGTTTTTGGCGGCCTTGACACCTTTGGCAATAGCCTTGCCAATCTTGAAGAGGGCACCGAGCCACCTACGCTCCTCCACATTGTCCAATCCGCCTTCAATGGGGAATGGCTCAGGGAGAGGTTCGGGTTCGGGTTCTGGAGAGCGAGCGACGAGCTCTAGGAAGGATTCTTCGTCGGCGAGGTCTCGCTTCTCCATCATATCCAAGTCGACTCCATACGAGCTCTCACTACGAGCATGGAGGTGTAATTGTTGAGTGGAATCACGTGCGACAAGTGTATTCGAGTCACGGCCAAAGATGGGAGCTGGGGCGGCAAAGACTGGGTGGATGGCGAGGAGAGAAACGATGAGAACGGTGGAAAGATACATGATTAGGATCGTGTAAAAGATGGATAAATGAGCAAAAATAAAGAAAAGGGCGATTAAAGACTGGAATTGGTGAGCACTCTTTCGGATTCAGGCTACGAGATGAACTTACACAAAGGGGGCACCAGGCCGGACGAAGAAAGAAAGAAGAGAGAAAGTGAAAACGAAGGGAGGTAAGTAGACCTGGTCTAACAAGAACCTGTTCCTTACCCCGTTTTTATAGACGAATGCCTCGGATTCCACGGGGCACCTCTTGCATCGCATTCAACGGCTGTTTACACCTTTCACATCCTCTCCATCAATCCAAAAATACCCCCAACACTTGTTTTTTCTCAGCTCCATTAGGCGCGTCACATCTTTTGCGACAAGGCTGGGCGTAAACGCGCCCAGAGTGACACGGGCTGAATGGGGGTGGCAGTGGCCGCTCGCGCTCAGCTCGAATGGTACGCGGGGAATGTTGTCCATCGTGTCTTGAGTCTCCATTCGGCTTGTGAGATGTGTCGGAATTGTCATTCAAAGAGTGGATGGGCGGTGAACAGGATAATCGCGTGGGCTGTTCTTTTTTTGTCACTCGAATATCTCTCGACGGCCCACTGTAGCCGATAACGATAACTCTTTGGATCCTCTTCTTTGCTCATTTCTATCGCGTCGATTTGGACTTGGCGATGCGAGGTCGAGTTGAGGTACCGGACATTTACGGCGATGGTATGATCACCCCTCGGCGCTGGTGAGTAGAATCAGGATCAAGTCGATGAATACGAGTACTTATACCTGCGATTATGGCCAGCGGAGTCGAGATGGATAGATCATTCCCCACCCACCTTTACGTCTCCTACACATGGGTGAGTCGCCATAATGTCGATATAAAAGCAAGAATCTTAATTCATTGATAGAATACCTAAAGAATGTCAAACTCGCATTCTATATATCCACACTACCTCTACATGACATACCATGAAGCTCCATGTCCCCATTGATATGGTAGGCTCGTCGAGGCACAGCGACACCGGCCACTGGTCTCAATTACCTTCATAACACTTCCAACAAAGGAAGAAAATCTAATCACTCACCTCTTAAAATGGAACCGAGTGACGCTTACAAGGTACGCGGGTATAATTTTATAAGAACAACTGCTCATTAACC